TGTCGCGATTATTTCCAGCATTCGCTCCAACTGCAAAAGTATGCCTCGCGGAATTGCACGTCCCTTTTTCACCCTCCTTCCCAATCCTCTTTTCCAACCCCTCGAACCAACCAACCAACCAACATACCCCTCAACCCCTCAGATCCCCAGATTCCCCGTTTACCTCATTCCCTTCCACTCAACTGTCTTCTTGCTGTTCTCTTTTCTGTTACAGCTGTTCTCTTGTATCTAACTCTCTACAATGAAATAGTAGAAACGTAGAAATGGCTATAAGACGATATTCCTGAGCAAATCAAGACAGAATAAGAGAGAGAGAGAGAGAGAGAGAGAGAGAGAGAGAGAGAATGAGAGAGAGATAGTGATAACGAAACGCAAATAGTAAGGAGTAATAATTGTTTGTTGCTAGTCACGAAGAGTAAAGTTCAAACCAGAAATGGGTGGGTGCTGAATTAAATTGTTTGGTTGTGACAAAATGAATAATCCAAGCGGAAAATGAAAAATTAAACCATTAGGGGGATATCCCTATACTTTTGTTTTTCTTTCAGGTTTTAATATTAATCTTATTTTTTTTAAGATTTGGGTGGGGATATATTATAAAGCTGGCATAATTTTGTTGTTGTTGAAATTTTAATACTCAAATTTTTCAATATTAATCTTTATATAGTAATTATATTTAATTAGAAGAAGAAGAAGAAGAAGAAGAAGTTTATTTTTCAGGTATACCCCTTTAGGGTGTTTACCCCGAAGGCCCCTCCTACATGTTCGTTTCCCTTGACAATATACTTAATTCTAATTATGCCCTAATATAATATTAGATATTAATATTAACACTATAACAACAATATAAACAATATAAACAACCTTAAACAATATATCACATTTATTATAATTATATTTAATTATTATATTTAATTTTGTATACAAAATACAAAATAATTATAATATTAATATATAAAATAATTATATTTTTATATATTATATTATTTTATATTTTATTATATATATATATATATATATATAATTAAATTTATTATAAAAAACTTCTTTTTTTCCCCCTTATTTTTTCTAACCTTAAAAAAGAAGAAAATCAAAGTAAAATTATGAAGAAAAGAAGAAACGTATTTACGATAAAAAAAAAAAAGGTAAAAAAGAAAAAGAGAGATAGATAGATAGATAGATAAATAAACACACACACACATACACACACAAATACACACATATATATTTATCTCATTTTTATTGCAACGAGAAAAGAAAAAGGTGGCAGTATCATCGTTACTTTGAAAATGGATGCACCTAGTAAATTGTGAAAGAGTAGTGAAACGAAAGAAAAGGGGTTGGTGTTAGGGGAAAGGAAAAGGGATGAAAAAGGAAGGGTGTTTTAAGAGGAAATCAGAAGCACCGACGATAACGTCTCGAAGTAGTGACGAACACTTGAGTGACATAGATCGAAGGAACGCGAGCAGCAAACCCTGAAACGATCGACCATCTGTCGTGAAGATATTGAAAATGGAACTTCCAAGACGAGGGATGCTTGACTACGACGTTCTTCTTGTCCTACCATATTCTCAATCCTTATCTTTCCTCTCTCTTTCTCTTTCTCTCTCTCTCTCTCTCTTTTTCTAAATTTCTTTTCTTTTTTCATGCACCTTATTTCAGTTGTTATCAAATCAATGGTAAATATATCTCGATGAAAATTGAATACTTGTGTATAAGTTTTAATCTGATGACTAACATACATTTATTTGAATAAAAAAAATAATAATAATAATACATACATACACATACATAAATAATATGGATAGGAATAATGGATTTATATTTGCATATATAAACGTAAAAATTGGATTAACGTTAATATTTATTTAGGGAATTATATATAAAGGGTTACATCATTCGAATTGATTTAAATTGTTATTCGTAATAGAATATTTGAGATATTTTTATTATTTAATTATTTATTAGATATTTTTATAATAAAATATAATTAAAAAATATCAAATTATTCGGATTAGTTAATATTGTTATTCATAATAGAATATTTCAAATATTTTTATTTAATTATTTAAAATAGATATTTTTATAATATAATATAATTAAAAGTATTTAACTAATACATCGAATTCTTTAA